TTTTCACAGCTGTCCTCCCAGGGAGTGGGACGTGACATTGCAGACAGTGACACTGCCACTCCTTACCCCAAGTTCCACATGATTTCCCAGTCTCCTTAAGACCAAGTCCTAGACTCCTTGCACCCTTCCCATGACCTGTCTCCCCATCTTCTGCTACCTTCCCTTATCCACCAGGTTCCACTCCTGTCCTGCTTTTCCCCATGGGAGCCATTGGCACCTGCTGTTCTCTGCAGGTGGTTCTTACCCACAGGTTGCTGCAGCTGCTCATTCTGCTAGCAGGAAAGATGCCACCTCCGCAGGAGGCYCTTCCTGGCCAGTCTGAGGAGAGCAGCCCTCGCTTCCATTACTCCACTATACATTTTTTGGCAGGGGGTAATGGGGATTGAACTCAGGGGCACTTGACCACTGAGCCCCATCCCCAGCCTTACTTTGTATTGTATTTAGAGACAGAGTCTCACTGAGTTATTTAGCSCCTGTGGTTGCTGAGGCTGGCTTTGAACTCGTGATCCTCCTCCTCAGCCTCCCGAGCCACTGGGATTACAGGTGTGCGCCATGGTGCCTTGCTCCATTTTACTTTTTAAAAGCCCTTCTAACTGTCTAAAATGACCTTTGCCCTCACAGGTGTGCCTGTCTCTCCTCCACACTAACAAGGCTCCCAGGAGGCCAGGCCTCTGCGTTATCAACCATTATACGGGTCAAGATTACAAGAAAGAAATGAGCAGACAGACTCAAGCTGAGTTAGAGTGAAGGGGTCATTCAGAAGGACAAGGACAAAGAGGGACAGCACAATGCCCTGGGCTAGTCCCCAACTGCAGGGAAACCAGTGCTTGCCAAAACTCAGAGACCGGCTGGGCAGGGGCTATGGCCCTTAGTTCCAAGCCAGCAGCCTGGCAGGGAGGCAGGTTCACTGGTCACTCTCCTCCTTCCTAGCTTCCCAGTGTCCTTGAGGGATTCCATCATGCAGTGGGAAGTGGGAGTCCAMGCAGATTTGCCTGCTGGGATGCAGAGTGGGTCAGAGACCTAAGACAAAGCTCACCAAAGCCACCGTGTTCTACCTYGCCAGCACGCTCCATTCACCCAGGCGTGTACAGCAGGCAGCCTGGTGTAGGGTCTCGGAGAGGAAGGTGTGGAAGGAGCACACAGGGCGATGGGGACAAATGAACAGCCCTCCCCAGGTCCCTGCCTGGCCCCTCATCAGAGGGAGAGCTCCTGTGGCCAGGAGGCCCATGTGTTCTGTGCCAAGGACATTGCTGAAGTTGAAGGACAAGCTCTATTTATGTGCAGCCTGGAAACAGGAGCTTGTTTTGCATCGTGTGTGGGGATAGAGTGGGCTTAGGTAACACATTCTGATCTGTCCATGGAGCACATGCTCTCCGGGCTTTGTCGAGGTAGGAGCGAAGCCACCCGTTCACAGGATTACAGCCAAGTGGGGAGGAGCCACATCATGACACACTGCTGCCATCGACGTGTGGAATGCCATAGGGGTATGCGTGGAGAAGGGACATCCAAGCGGACTGTCCATCAGAAAGCCTCTTGACGGCCTGCTGGGAAGGGGAAGGACTCACAGCCCCTAAGGACGGACATCTTGCTTCAGTAGCAGATGAAAGCTGTAGTGTGCTTRGGGACCAGCTCCACGCGGATGCTACATTACTAAAGGTGGGTTGGGAGCCACTTGTCAAAAGGGTTGGAACATGAGGCCACAGAATTACTTGATGTGATGAAAACCATGTCAGAGCAGCCTCCCCACGYGCTCCCGGGAGTCCAGACTGAAGGAGGAGCAGACCCGGGACAGCCATGGAAATGGAGAAGCCAGCCCAGACAGCTGGGACACGCAGCACAGCCTTCCTGCCTGCAACGGGCCAGATGGCGCCACTCCACACATGGTGCAGTGAGAAACAGCTCTGAGCTCTGCGCTGCTGCAAAGTTAATTTCCCAACACGCCTTTCTCTCTGATCCACCCTCTACCTTTTGGATGGAATGACGTGACTGCTTCCGGTTGCTTTGCATCTCCTTTCTTATAGGAGGAAAGCAAGTCCCCCACGTGTGCTAACATGTGGGCTCCAGCCCTTGTGGAGGGCCCTCGTGCTGGTGACACACATGGGTACCCTCCAAACAAGAATAAAATCAGCAAGTACGTGTCGTCCGGGGGTTTTTAAACTTCAGGCCTGTAGRGCAGAAACTTGAGGCGCCAGGGGAGGACACATTGAGAAATCTAGCTTCTAAATGAGATCTGCACAAGATGGGGACAGGGATGTATCCAGCGTTCAAGGAGCCTTCTGTACGTGCCAGGCTCTGCCCTGGGCACAGACACACCAAAGACAGATTGGATGTGGCCTTGGTGTCCATGAGGGACCAGAAGTGACAGCAGCACATGTCCACGAGAATCACAGAGTGTTAGGGACCTCACAGGAGGAGCTGCTGACCTAGGCAGGGGCCAGGGTCACAGGCACACTGTCATAGCGCCTTCCTGGTGCCTCTTCAGGGCTCCAGCCATCTACAGGGGATGCTCCAGGTTGGATGTGGCCCAAAGGGACAGAAAGGCTGGGCTGTCAGTCCTCCAGGGTTCCTCCCAGGGTCCCTACAGGCTGCTGTACCCCTACTGAAGGAGGCCACTCCTGTGGGATCTGGGAAGAGCATCTGCACACCGATGTTTCCTGAGTTCTGTGACCTTCTGTCCGCCGTCACCCCATTCCTTGGGGTGCTGGCAGTGCTGTGAGTCATGGGACACTGTCTGTCACTTTCTGGTTTCCTTATATCTGCTCACATCTTCATAACTGGTTCCTTTAACCATTCTCCCAGTTACCCAGTGACCAGGTGCCACCTCTGTGCTGCTGGACCTACCCCTGATCCCCAGGGAGAGGCCATGCCTGACCTGAGTGTAGATGGTGACAGTTATTTGGTGGGAGAGAGAAGAGTCCAGGTGTAGAGGGAGAGAGCACGGTGTGTTCCAGCAGCCATGGTGGCCAGGAGCCTCTCCTCCTCCACGTCTCATCCCCAGGTGTCGAGTGCCAGGCTTGGGTTTTACCACCAGATCTCTGACGCACCTGCACCTCTCTACTCCACTGCCCTCGCTGTTTCTTGCCTCAGTTGCTGTGACAGCTCTGCAGTTATYGCCTCACCCTATGCCAGCCCTTCATCCTCCTCATGGTGTCAGCATGGATGTGCAAGGACCCTGGGTAGGGACCCCCCACCTGCCACCCCTCAGGGAGAGGTCTCCGCCACCGAGGATCCCTGCCCTCTTCTCTCCACCCTAGCTGCTGATCTCTAGGTCTTAGAAGCTCCATCTTTACTCCATACCTGGCGTGCTGCACAGAGCACAGCAAGAAGCAGGCACCTAGGAAATGTTCATTGACTGGTTAAGGAACTGTAGGTAATTCAGTAGGGACACAGTGAGCAACGGGGAAGAAAAGACAAGGCACATCACGGGACAAGACATGCAGGACCTGGGTGAGCCAGGCTGAGGAGCACCCAGGACAGTTGGGAGCCACAGAGAGCCCTCAGCAGGGGCGAGGACCAGACCAGACACGCACCCTGTGCAGCTCGTCCGAGCAGTCTCAGTGTGTCAGACACAGCAGAAGACCCCGATGACAACCAAGGACAAGAAGAATCCCAGCCTTTGACAAAGTGAGGCAGGATGATAGAGGAAAGCACAGAGATCCCACACGAAAAATCATCTGAGTTCAAGGAAATGAGTAGCTGTGGCTTGTGGAAGGGATTTGCAATCATCGTGATGTATCAAAACATGTGAAAGACTGCACACACTCTACAGCCATCCTGGTCATCCACAGGGGACTGGTTTGAGGACGCCCCCCRCCTCGTGGGTACCAGACCTGAGGAGGCTCGAGGCCACACATGGGGTGGTGTCTGCCTGTATCTGTGCACATCCTGCTGTGTGCGACGATGACTCTAGATTACCCACACCTGCTACCATGCAAGTGCCTGTGAGAAGCTGCTGTCCTGCATTGTTTAAGGAACAAGGAGAAACGTGTCCACACGTTCAGGACAGATGTAAACTTCCCCTAAACACTGTTGCAGTTGGTGGAACCCACAGATGCAGAATCCATGGGTATGGAAGGCTAATTTATCTAATTTCTTAAAAAAATTAGAAATGCTTCTTATTTTTAAGGCCAGGAGAGACATACATTAAACTCTCAGCAGGAATTTGGAGATGTTGGAAATACAGGTAAGTTTGACCTCCTCTCTAGATTATCTCTAGTCTTCTTTGTGTTTTTTAAACTGTGAGAATGAATAGTTTTCTGACAACAAAATTTCTCATGCAGAGACAGAGACATGGGTGAGATCTTGGCTGGGCTGTGATTGTCCACCTGAAGATACAGAGCTTCCCACCACTGACAAAACCTCAGCTCATCCATGTGGCCTGCAGCAAATGGGCCAAGGTTACAGACATGGGACTCAGAAGGTCGAAACCCACTGGGGGCAGAGATTGTACACTCTGTGCTGTCTCCTCAGTGCCTAAACCTGGGCCCAGCACATGGAAGAAGCTCAGGATGCATCTGTGTGATGAGCCAATCCCAGTTCCACATTTGTTAACTGTGTGAGTTTGAGCAGGTTAGCTCATCTCTCTATGCATTGACAATCTTTTCTCTAAAATGGAGAATCATAGTAATAATGAATACAGAGATTCGTGTGATTACCTGAGAAACACCCACAAGCAACATGCTTGCCTTGTAGGATGTCCTCCAAGCGAGTGCAAAAGTGAAGTCAGGTGATTTTGATGAAGGATTTCCCCTGAGAATTGCATTTCTTATCCTCTAGCTTTCAGGGACGGGCACCTGTTCGCCAGCAAAGGGCCAAAGGCCCACCAATGTGTCCTTTTAAGATATAATAATAATGATGATGAATGTGTACTGATAAGCCGAGACTGCATTATTACCCTCCTTATAACAACRCTGTTGCAAAATGCAACTGGAAACTTTTTTAATGAATGAAAGACACCTGCATGGCCAAGTTACCAACAGCCCACGAATGTCACAACGAGGTCATATTTCTCTCATCGGTGTATTATTATTCCAATGGGAAATTTGATTCAAAACTTTATGCATGAAGCTGCTCCTGTAAGTCAGACGCGGGGGGGTGGATACAAAACGAAATCTGAAGGAGAATGAGGGGTGCCCTTCAGACCCAGGGTCAGGGAATGGAGAGACAGGAAAGAGGGCAATGGAGACAGAATAATCCAGAGGGCAGTGCTCTTCCCCAGCCAGCTGGCGAAGTGGGTGCTTAGGAAGCTGCTAACATGTGACCCAGCAGGATGAACTCCAGGCATCAGGAGGAAAGTGGCAGAGACTTGCAGCATCAGATCATTTTCCAAGTCAGGAGCCTGAGGTTAAAAAAAATGTTTTTAAAAATATGCGGCTGACAGCAGGCAGCAGCCGAGGTGGCGTTTTCTCCTCAATGTCTGTAGCGTCACGTCAGAACTGATCTCGGTTTTGCTGAAATACCTAGTACACAAGCTCCCAAAGAAAAACAGTAATAATGTGCAAAATGTAAAGATGTTAGTGGGTTTTGCTCCAAGAGTACCCAGAAAAAAATGTCAACCACTTGGACAAATAGAAGGCAGAGGCAATGATCAGAGTACTCCAGTGGGTGTCTGCCTGCCCAGGGATGGAGCGCCTGTCAGATCCAGCCATAGGTCTCTCTGGGTGCGAGATTGTGAGTTATTTTTATCTTTTATATATTTTTTGGCATATCTCTCTATTTTCTTTTGTTTCTACAATGGGCATCTACAAATTATATCTCTAAAAGTCAACATGATTTTTCAAGTCCAGCTATAAAAATTATAAAGTCACATATTGAGAAATTCCAAGAAAATAATTAAAGGTTTATGATGAAGTTGTTTATAAAAATGAAAACTAGAAATACTCTAAATGTTCAATACAAGATTAATTAAACACACTTTACTCTATCCTCRAATGGTCGTTAAAATTATTTAGATTGGTACCGACTGATATGAAAGACATCCACAAATACATTTTTAATGTAATATATAAAATCTGTAGAAGAGTATATATGACATAATTTCGTATTTTACAAGATTAAAAATAGTTCTTTTTTAAGGCCAGGAGGAATGCACAATAAGGTAGCAGTGATTTGGGGGGTGCTGGAAACACAGGACATTTTTAATTGCTCTCTGGATTTTCTTTCTAGTCTTCTCTTTCTTCTATGAATATCCGTTCTTCTTTAAGCAGGAAACATTTCCCCTGGACAACAGTTCTCTGAAATCCTTGTGCTTTGGACTGGAAAGAACATCATCACCCTAAGATCCCCAGCTGCAGGCTTGCCTGCAGGTGCCTAGTGCCACCTGAACCACAGGGCTCAGCCCTTTGATCATGATGGAGAGGAGCACTGATGTTGGCAGACTGAGAGCAGAGATCCCAACTGGCATTGTGAGACACTGAACACCATGATATCACCTGTTTCCTTAAAAAACCAAGCATCCTAAAGGACCATCTGGACAGGTGTGGTGGTGCACACCTGTAATCCCAGCGACTCAGGAGGCTGAGGTAGGAGGATCACAAGTTTGAGGCCAGCCTGGGGAAGTTAGTGAGGCTCTAAGCAACTTTTAGAGATCCTGTCTCAAAATAAAATATAAAAAGGGCTGTGGATGTGGCTCAGTGGTTAAATGTCTCTGAATTCAATTACTGGTTAAAAAAAAATTCTGTGTAATTAGCAGAATGTTCTTTGGACAGACAAAATGCAGAAGCTTCAACAAAAAAGTAAGATGAGCGGGTGGAAGGGCCTCTCTCCCTTATAGACCAATCGGTCGGAACCAAGTGGTCTGGTGAAGTCTCCCCAGCATCTTGCTTCTTCAGTGATTTTCTGAATGCAGGGGTAAAAAACAGACTGCCAGACCTCAGGGAATTTCACTCATCTGCCACCTTTCAGGAGCGGAAGCAAGACACTAAAAATGAATAGGGTTTGTTGGGACCCAGTGGTTATTGAAATAGTACATTTGTTCCATCTCTCGCCTACAATGTATCTGGTTTCTTGTCTAGCTACCCCAAAAAGGAAAAAGAAAAAAATAACTTCAGCTAATATTTACAGGACATGAAACAACTCCCACAGACCTTGATGAAGGACATCTGGTACCAGCTGGGGAGACGGGGTGTTCCTCTGCACCCAGCCTTGCACACATTTTCAACATTTGTCTGTACCGTCTTAAACCCAGCAAAAGCCTCTTGGTGACCTCCAAGAAGAAATACTTCATTTTCTCCCATCCTACCTCTGAGTTGGATTCATCTCCACACAGACACGTGGAAAGATAAGAAAACAGACCCGCACAGGGGATGAGAGATTGCAGGAAAAGTTGATGCCTTCAAGGGGTTGCTGTCAGTGCTTCTTGCTCGTGCATATTTCTCTCCAGATGGCTGGCCAAGTCCCTGAGGAGAGACCATGCTCTGCACATCTTAGAGCCCCCACACGGAGTCTGGTTCCTGGTGGGAACTCAATGAAGATGTCCAAAGCTGCAGGCTGAGGGCCACTCAGGGTGAGAGCCAAGAGCAAGAAGGGCCACCCCTGGGGAACAACTAGAACCTGAGGGCTGCTGCTCTGCAGTGCCTGAGAGATGTGACTTGGACCTGATTTTGCCACCAAGGTCCAGCAGCACAGGAATGAAGCCCGAAGCGGTGTCAGGTGGCTGCCACGGCCGATCAGCTTGCCAGCTTCTGAGYTGTCCAGAATGAAAGGAGGGAGGACTCAAAGCAAGTCCCACCCGCTGCTCCCTGCCAAGACCGAGACACTCGGAAACAATTGGGGAAGTTGCAACAATTACACAAAGTCCTTGGCCCCTTGCTTGTGGGTGGCAYAGATCTCTGCCACAGCTGCTAAGTCCTGGCAGGCTTTGAGAGGGCAGAAAGGACACTGGCCTGAGCACGTAGATCTCTGTATTAAGATGGGTGTCTCACTGCTACTTTGAAAATGCTCTCAACTCTACATACTTCTCTACAATGTTGACTTTTGCAGTGGACATTCTACATTGTAGAAGACATCCTTCTTTGTTTCAAGAGGTAGCCCATCTGGATATTAATGTGTTTGTGGTAACAGTTAAATATAGGAGATTATTAAGTCAAGGAGCCAGGGTCACAGATCTTTATTTCAAAGACTACCGCAATTGTTGCAAAAACATGTGGCCTCTTACATAAGGGACAGTGGGAAGGGCAGTTCTTGAATGTCTGTACTGAGAGCGCTTAGGGACCACCTGCCGGAAGTACAGGCAGAGGCCSGAAGCCGCAACTGCAGGCATCTGTCATGACAATGGGTGGGCACAGAAGCCCTCTGACAGTGCCTGTCCTCCGCCTCTGACCTGTCACTGCTTTGGCTTATCCTGGGCTTTGTGGCGATCCTCAATCCTCCCAGGGAAAGTCTGTTCAGTTTCAGCATCTGACTCTCAGATCAGCTTTCCGCTCTCCAGTGTGTTCAGCACAACCTGCGATCTGGGCGGCCGTGKGAGTTCTCACAGCTGTCTCTGACGCCCCCTCTGCCCTGCACCGCCCACACCCCAGCCRCCTGCACCTCCCCCTCCCTTACCTGGGCACTGTGATGCCCATGGAGMACCTTTCATGTTCCTTGGCCGTGTCCAACCCAAATTCCTCAGCCTGATATCTCTAGATTTCATGATCTGACCTGCCATTCTTAGAAAAATGAAAACAGTCCTTTTTGTTCTTGCGGAAGTTAACGATATAACACGAAGCCTTCAAGAAGGGTCCTCGTGATTAGGGCTCCCCAAACACCGAACCACTCAGCAGCTGCTCCAGTGGACTTTGGGGCAAACACTGCCCACTAAGCAATGACTGTCCTTGATTCTGTCCAGAAACAAAAGTCTTAGGCTCTTCCCAAGGACAGCCCTGCAGGGGGCATGGGTTCAAATCACGGTGGCTTGCAGGTGACATTGCCAGGTAAATATCTTCCTTTTGGAAGCAAAGGATCAGGAATATCTTTCAGCATTCTGAAAGCTTTGCTAACTAAAGTAGAAAGAGCCACTCTAACAGCCAGCCATTGGGAAAGACTACAGGAGGGCAGGCTGGTCCACAGCAGGAGAAAACTCCATAGGCACACCCGAGCCCACGGCCGGCCGCTGGGTTGCCTTCTGCTGGAAGGTGGCTCTCCCTGGCTCTGCACCTTGTAACTGAGGCCTGTGGGGGGTGTTTTCTCCTGGGGCTTTGAGGTCCTAGCAGTTGCCTATCACAGATGAGAGGGGTTGGTGGCAGCAGACTCTGACCCTGAGAGAGACACTCCCTGCTAAAGACAGCCATGCTAGAAGGGGCCAGCCGGGCAAAACACCCAAGGAGGAGAGGTTTGCCTCCAGGGCCCGGCCTCTACTCTGAAGGTCTCTCCGACACTTCACCAGACTGATGCATGGACAGAGTGACACTGTGAAGCCATCACACCTGGGTTCAAATCCTTTAAGTGCATGGGCTAGAACAGATATTGTCGAGCTGGGGCCTGTCGTCCAATGCAGTCTGTTTATTGACTTAGTAGGTGAGGTTTCCTGGGTCCCAGCCACGCTCCTTCCTTGACTTACTGTCTTTGGTGGCCTGAACACCCACAGGGGAGAACACAGGCTCCCAGAGCATAAAGCATCTTCTACCTGACCTTTTGCAGAGAGAATTGTAGACCCCTGGCATAGAGCAAGTGATAACCTCAATTCATTAGGCTCAGAATGCTGCTGGTAGCACTCTCCTAAGAGGCTTTATGGAAAGATAACTAGTGTTAAAGTAAGTGAGCACGTTTGGAAAACTCTAGGTTAAATAAGGATGTGTCCCTTTACTGAAGGCCCCTCAGAGCCCTGAGGAAGCCAGTCAGGGAATCTGGCTTGCATTTCTCTAATCCGTCTTGCCTTGGAACCGACTGTCATGGAATAAGGCTCAAGTTGTCTTCGTGCATATGTGCACAGATCCCAGGGACACACAGAGACTTCCCAGGAGATAAAAGCAATTTCCACATCTGAATTTCTTGCATTGTTGCATGAAACAGGTTCACCTGATATAAGTTTCCCCCACCCTCTGCCCCACACTGCAGTTTCCTGCCTGTGTCAGAGAGAGGCTGGCCCCTCGCTCCCCCTGAGCCTGTGCTTGTGTGGAATCCAAGTGCTGGAGATGGCCTGCTCCTCAGTGATGAGTCATGACCCAGGGTTCCTGTCTTAGAGTTTGTTAAGCCTGGAGCTTCGAATTGTGAGGTGTTGGGGACCTGCTCTGATGCCCTTGAGCTCAGAGGAGCAGGAGTGACCCAAGTCTGGGAAGTGAACTCCCAAACCCGTCACAGCAGTTTCCTGAGGCTACCAAATTTTTCAAGGTATACAGAAGAGAACATGATTTTACATAATTTCTTTCAGATTTGGTGCTCTTTATTCAATAAGCTAGTTAAAAAGCATTCCTACCAGTCATATTATGAACTATTTGTGCCAGTTGCAATCAACCCCCACCTGATTTCATTTTCATTTTTATCAATATGTTCTACTCCTATTAATTGAAAAACGGAACCTTTAAATTTTTGATGAAAAAGTTTAGATGTTAACTTACAAGGATACGTGACTTCGCAAAATCCTCTCAGGAAGTCGGTCCCCACAACGTGCTAAGCTACACCTTTTGCCGGACTAGCATCCTCAGCACTGTCTCTGGGTGGCACCAAGTTAGACAGGTGTATGGAGGGTCCCAATGTACAGCAGCTGCTGATAACCACCCCTCCTCCCCTCYACCTCCTGCCAGGCTGATCACGGCACTGTGCCCTTTGTCTCCACTCCCAAACCCCAAGCTCTTGGGAGAGGGTTTGATGGACAACTTCACACCCAGTGATGACTGAATGTGTGGTGGCACTCACCGTCACTGGCACTTGCATTTTAACACTGGGGAAGTTTGAGCTGGTGGCAGTGCTATGGAGTGCAGGGGCACTTCCCTGCCTTCCAACACCGACACCAGGAAGCAATGGGGACTGCCAATGGGCCCAGCTTTCCTTTGTGGGTGATTTTTCCCYCAGAGGAGTGCGTGCTCCTTAAGCTCCAACCAAAGGGCACTTTGCAAGAGCAGCCCCCAGCAGGATGGCCAAGGCTGCACAGGCCCCAGGAGCACATTCCCTCTGGGAGGGTGCAGGAGGGGTGGGGGTGCTCCACCAGGAACACTGCCTTCTCCTGGCACTGCCCACGCCCCGCCAGCTTGTGGTATTTGGGGCTGTCTTACTTCTCAGGAGTTAGGAGACAATCTGGCAGGGCCAGCTCTGAGTGTGGGGAGCAGGCTGCACCCTGGTCTGCTAGCCTCGGTGTGGAGAGCAGCAGTTCTCAGACTGTGCCTAACCTAGGGCCGCCCCACCCTGTAAAGCAGCAGTTTGCCATGAGTCACTCCATTCTGAGGGCAAGTGCCAAGGCACCGTGACTCTGTGCCTTTCTGTACAAGGAAACAACGACTATCTGCCCAGCACCACCAAAAGRCACAAGGTGACAAAGAGCTTATTCATGCCAACTTACCAAACTACTTCAGGAGCACCTGGACACATGGCCATCCCAAATCATACCAGCAACACCAAGCACGGGAGCTTAACTACTTCTCCTAAGACCCGTGGAAGGAGGAGCCCCCCCCCAAGAGTGGACACAGTGGCACCCTGGCCCTGTCACCTGGTCACAAGCTTGCCCAGGAAAATTGCCACGGTGATGAAGCTCTGGTTCTGTTTCCAGACTTCAGCTTGGCACACTGCTGCCCATGACTGTGCTGCACGGCCCAATCCAAGGTGACCCTCTGAAATGGCCAAGTCAGGACCGTCCTCCTCACAACTCTGTGGAACTGGTTGGGTTAAGCCCTTYTCTGACCACCTTTTAACTCTACATTCACACCTCTCCCTGCCTGTGCCCTTGGCACAGTGTCCTGTAACCCGTCGGCCACCTGACCCCTCAGCCTTTCTGTGCCATAGAGATATCCCTTCTGTGCCATAGAGATGTCCCTTCTGTGCCRTATAGATGTCATTGTGTGAAACACAACCTGAATGCAATTGTTACAGACTTTGGAAATTAAGATTAGAATGGAATAAAAGGACTATGATGGCCAGCTTCTGATGGCCAGGTGGCCCCTGAGCAGTCCTGATCACCACTGCTGTGGTGTTGCTTGTGGATTTACTGCTAGTCCATGATACTGGYGCCGTGGGAGGCCCCGAGCACCCTGGCTCCTAACAATGTCTTCCAGCCTCACCGGTGAGTCCAGCAGCACGTCTTACAGGGCATATGTGTGCTGACCCGCTTCCCCACTCCCTCARGAGACCCTGGAGAGCAAATCAGACCACCGAGGCAATGTCTTTGCATTTACCTTCTGAGCATGCTCACTGGCCTGGCACAGCCTGGGGTTCATGTCTGGGAGGGGGTGCTGTTTCCACACAGAAGCTCCCACTGGGGGACTGCATGTTGAAAACCAAAAAGGAAAATCCCATTCAAATTGAATCAAATGATAATAATAATGACAATTAAAAATTATATCATTCCATGTGTTTAACCTCCCATGGAGTTGGTGTTTCTATCAAGTCAGGTTTGATCAKCGGCTCAGATAGCACCACTAAAATTCCCCCTCCTGCCTTGCTCCGTCCTTAAGCTGCATTTTCTAAAACCCCCTGCCCTGCCTCCCTCTCCCATTGCAGCCTAACCTCAGGGTGGCTCGCTAGAGAAAGCCCTTCGTCCCTCCGGCTTTACATCTCATGTCCAGGCAGTGTCCTTTCCTCTGATCTTTAACACAGTTTAAAACCTAGCAGCCTATGGAGGGGGAGGCCAGTTTCCTAGCCACTCCCTGCAGGCCTATCACTTGGCACAAGAGACCATCCAGAGTGCAGAGGGCCTGGCTTTTCACACTTCCTCCTTTCCACCGAGTCTATGGGTATTCTAAACACACTCCCGTTACCTTGGGCAAGCATAGATGCAGGGTTTTACAAACGAATGCAAACACAGCTGACGATAGCTCTGAAGCTCCAGCCAGAGGCAGGCTCTTGAGAGAGAGCTTCAGGCTTGGGAAGAGACTCAGCACAACACCCTCCAGGCTGGGGAAGAGACTCAGCACAACACCCTCCAGGCTGGGGAAGAGACTCAGCGCAACACCCTTTGAGAGACAGCCAGCAGGAACCTGAGGGGGAGAGCAGGTGGAGGACTAGCACACTCACCAGGGTGGTCCCAAAGTGTCCCTGACAGTCTGCTATGACTGCCTGATGCCCACAACTAGGGCCAGATCAGCAGCTGCTGCACAGATCAGCAGTCCCTCCTGAGCCTTCTCCCCTGSGGCTTCTCTGGTGTGTTGGAAACACCAGGAGCCTAAAGTGGATATGGTATGTGCCGGGGTCCGGCTGCAGCAGAATAGCCGGGGGGTGACGAATAACTTGTGTAGACTGATACAGCAGGAGAGGGAGCCGTTTATTGTAGGACAACAGAGGTATTTATACATTTTGCACAGCTAATCTTAATTAGCATAAACTAGATACATCAGTCAACCAATAAGGAATCTCCACTCTTAATGGCTTGCTTTTGTTATTTCTCAAACCACTCCCTCTGGCATTTTGCCAGGCACCATCCAGACTTGTTTACGAACTCTAACATTCCCCTGGCAAAATGCCAGGTGTTATTTTGACTTGTTTACAGACTCTAACAGGTATGAACACCTTGGGCATCCCTCCTACCTCTCTGCTAAGGCACAGGATGTCAGGATGAAGGTAGGGAGTGGTCCTTGCCGTGCAAGTCCTTGGAAAAGCCTGTGGGCCTCAAGCCATGTCCACTGTTCCCAACTGTCAGGCAGCGTTGGGTGGGGACACAGCCTGGGAGCTGGC